TAGAATAAGTGATTGCATTGTCTGTTGGGATTTTATTGTCTGTTAGGTCAGTGGATATGTGTGTATGTGTTTTTCTTTTTTTTTCTTTGAACCCACAGTAACCAAAATATCCACTGAGGATGATGGATTGGTGCGGAACATTGATGGAATAGGTGATCAGGAAGTTATTAAAGCTGAAAATGGAGAGCATCAAGATAGTACCCTCAAAGAGGATGTTCCAGAACAGGGAAAGGATGATGTCCAGGAGGTTAAAGCAGAGCAGAACAGTGAACCATGTGCTAGCTCTAGTTCTGAATCTGATCTCCAGGTAATATGTGAAGTACAAGCCATCAAGAAATAAGACTGGGCCAGGCGCAGTGGCTCGTGCCATAATCCCAGCACTTTGGGAGGCCAAGGCAGGCAGATCACCTGAGGTCACGGGTTTGAGACCAGCCTTGGCAACATGGTTAAACCTCATCTCTACTAAAATTACAAAAACTAGCCGGGCATGGTGGCACTTGCCTGTAATCCCAGCTACTCAGGAGGCTGAGGCAGGAGAATTGCTTGAACCCAGGAGGCGGAGGTTACAGTGATCCAAGATCATGCCACTGCACTGTAGCCTGGGCAACAGAACAAGATTCCGTCTCAACAAAAAAGAAAGAAAACTGAAGCGGAATTAATTCTGTAAACTTATGGCTTTGGATTTCAATTTTATCCTTTGCCTAAAGAAATCTCTTTACAAAATCTAAACTATGAAAACTATGGTAGTTTAAAAAACATGCTTCAAAACTTAATTTTATTTCAGACAGTGTTTAAGAATGAAAGCCTCAACGCAGAATCAAAATCTGGCTGCAGACTTCAGGAGCTTAAGGCTAAGCAGTTTATAAAGAAGGACACTGCCACCTATTGGCCCCTGAACTGGCGGAGCAAGTTGTGTACCTGCCAGGACTGTATGGTAAAGTATCTGATTAATTTCAGTGTTAGCATGTTTTGTGTACTGTGTCCCAAAATAAGGACACCTGGGAAAAACATTCAGTTTTTGTACCAGAGGAAGAAAGGAAAATAAAAAGAGCACCTGAACAGTATATTTATGGAATTAATGTTTAGGAGACCCTCAAAATTTTTACATTAAGCAAATTTATGACATAGTACTTACAGTTGGAATGTTTGTGGAAGAAATGGATAATTATGCAGTATTTTAAATTTACTTATTTTAATTTTAGTTTACTTATCTTTAGGCAAATAGCAGTTCTTTGTTATATCAAAAAGTTGCCTGGAAACACTGGTTGAAAGTTACAGTAAATTGGCCAGGTGTGATGGCTCACGCATGTAATCCCAGCACTTTGGGAGGCCAAGTTGGGTGGATCACCTGAGGTCAGGAGTTTGAGACCAGCCTGATCAACATAGTGAAATCCTGTCTGTACTAAAAATACAAAATTGGCTGGGCGTGGTGGCACATGCTTGTAATCCCAGCTCCTTGGGAGGCCAAGGCAGGAGAATCGCTTGAACCCGAAAGGCAGAGGTTGCAAGGAGCCGGAATTGTGCCATTGCACTCCAGCCTGGGCAAGAAGAGTGAAACTCCGTCTCACAAAAAAAAAAAAAAGAAAAAGAAAAAAAAGAAAGTTACAGTAAATCAGTGATTTTTAAATAAAGATCTCATAGACTCTATGACATCTGGGAAATTGGGAGAATTCTGACAGAAATTTGGGCAAAAAGAATAAATCCTTCTAGCAATTCTGTGTTAAGAGGTTCCAGTTTTTCTAGGTCTTAATATTTAAAAAATAACATTTTTAGTGATTCTGATGACATTGACTTTCTGAGAATGATAAACAATTCTAATGGGGAAACTGTTTTTTTTTTTTTTTTCTAAAGAAAATGTATGGAGATCTAGATGTCTTGTTCCTGACAGATGAATACGACACAGTTCTGGCTTATGAAAACAAAGGCAAGATTGCCCAGGCCACTGACAGGAGCGATCCCCTAATGGATACCCTTAGCAGCATGAATAGAGTTCAGCAAGTGGAACTCATTTGTGGTAAATACTGTGTGTGTGTGTGTGTGTGTGTGTGTGAAAGTGAAAATTCATAGTTTCTTTCACTATGTAAAAAACTATAAAGGGGGCAATAAACACCTATATTTTTAATTTAATTCAAAGAATTAAAATTGTGAATTGTAGATCATTGCTTGATTTTCATATTGGTGGGTATTCAGCTGCTGTTACCATTGAAGCAGTTACACGCTGGAATAATTACATGCTTGAGAAACCACAACATACACTATTCTGATAAAGGGTAGATGGATGAATAAAATTTTTCCATCCATTGAAACAATTTTTTGGACATTATGTGTCATCTTTTTGAGCAAGGCATGTCACCATTTTGACAGTTCTTGAGGTTGCTTCAGTGGTTCACAGGAAACCACTAGAGGAGAAAATACCCCCAAACCCTTGATTGAAGGCTTTTACATCCCCCCACCACTACCCAGGGGCAGCATGCCAAACTTAGTGATTTCTATCCCAGCCATTTCCACCTGGATGCCACCACTTTTATGTGTCTTTTGTGGCATCAGTCATTTCTGTCTTTTATTATTTATTTATTTATTTTGAGACAGGGTCTTGCTGTGTTGCCCAGGCTAGAGTGCAATGGTGCATTCTCGGCTCACTGCAACCTCTGCCGCCCAGGCTCAAGTGATTCTCCTGCCTCAGTCTCTGAAGTAGCTGTGACTACAGACGCATGCCACTGTGCCCCACTAATTTTTTTTTTTTTGAGATGGAGTCTCACTGTGTCACCCAGGCTGGAGTGCAGTGGCATGATCTCGGCTCACTGCAACCTCTGCCGCCCAGGCTCAAGTGATTCTCCTGCCTCAGCCTCCCAAGTAGCTGGGATTACAGGCACCCGCCACCATGCCTGGCTAATTTACTTTGTATTTTTAGTAGAGACGAGGTTTCATCATGTTGGCCAAGCTGGTTTCGACCTCCTGACCTCAGGTGATCTACCCGCTTTGGCCTCCCAAAGTGCTGGGATTACAGGCGTGAGCCACCATGCCCGGTCCCCACTAATTTTTGTATTTTTAGTAGAGTCAGGGTTTCACCATGTCACCCAGGCTGGTGTTGAACTCCCGAGCTGAGGTGATCCGCCTGCCTCGGCCTCCCAAAATGCTAGGATTACAGGTTCAAGCCACTGCACCTTGTCTTTTATTTATAACTGTTAATTTCTTTTTGCCTTTATTAGAGTAAACACTTTCAAGGATAGAGGCTGCACCTAAAAGATTTTTGTAGCCCTCAAGGTACCTTGTACATAATGTAAACTGAGTCAGTTTGTTTGGGCTGGGCGCGATGGCTCATGCCTGTAACCCCAGCACTTTGGGAGGCCAAGGCAGATGGAACACCTGAGGTCAGGAGTTCAAGACCAGCCTGGCTGACATGGTGAAACCCCGTCTCTACTAAAAACACAAAAAAGTAGGCAGGCATGGTGGTGCGTGCCTGTCGAGTCCCGGCTACTCGGGAGGCAGAGGACATGGAGAATCACTTCAACCTGAGGCCAGAGACGCGTGAGGCCGAGATCGTGCCCGCACCAGCCTGGGTGACAGAGGTGAGACTCCATCTCATAAAATAAAATAAAATAAATAAAATTAAATTATTCAAACAAGTCCCATGGTTATTTCAGCCTACCAGTCAACCAGAGAAATTAGGAAACCCCTTTTAAAAATTTTAATCGTTTATGGGGATTAGGAATTCTCTAGCTTGTTTTGCCTTGTTGTGCTTTTTTTTTTTTTTTTTTTTTTTTTTTTTTTTTTTTTGAGAACGGAGTCTCGCTCGCCCCAGGGGGTGCAGTGCGCGATCTCAGCTCACGCAAGGCTCCCGGGCAGCCATCCTGCCTCACCTCCTGAGTAGCTGGGACTACAGGCGCCCGCCACCGCGCCCGGCTAATTTTTTGCATTTTTTTTAGTAGAGACGGGGTTTCACCGTGGTCTCTATCTCCTGACCTTGTGATCCGCCCATCTCGGCCTCCCAAAGTGCTGGGATTACAGGCGTGAGCCACCGCGCCCGGCCACTTGTGCTTTTTAAAAATTTTTGCTTTTTATTTTATTTTATTTTTATTTATTTTATTTATTTATTTTTTTTGAGACAGAGTCTCACTCTGTCACCCAGGCTGGAGTGCAGTGGCGTGATCTCGGCTCACTGTAAACTCTGCCTCCCGGGTTCACGCCATTCTTCTGCTTCAGCCTCTTGAGTAGCTGGGACTACAGGCACCCACCACTGCGTTTGGCTAATTTTTTGTATTTTTATTAGAGACGAGGTTTCACCGTGTTAGCCAGGATGGTCTCGATCTTCTGACCTCGTGATCCACCCGCCTCGGCCTCCCAAAGTTCTGGGATTACAGGCGTGAGCCACCGCACCTGGCCGCTTTTTATTTTTTAATGAAAAAGAGTCTCAGATATCAACATGGAGGAAGTGCAGATAATTTGGGAACGAGTTTCTATGCAGCTTTCACTTAAGAAAATTTTTATTTAAACTACATTATTAACAGTCAGGTGTCAATGGCAAAGAATATTTTGTTTTTGAAAGCAAATGGTTTATCTAAATGTAAATACTTTTGTGGTTTTGATTTAGAATACAATGATTTGAAGACTGAACTTAAAGACTATCTCAAGAGATTTGCTGATGAAGGCACGGTATGTTGAGTTAAAGAATTCTAATCATAGCCCTGTAAGTTTTGAATGAAGTGTTTATTTCCTTTGATGATTAAAAATGACTGTGACTGGTGGGGCGCGGCAGCTCACACCCGTAATCCCAGCACTTTGGGAGGCTGAGGTGGGCGGATCACAAGGTCAGGAGTTCAAGACCAGTCTGGCCAATATGGTGAACCCCCCCATCTCTACTAAAAATACAAAAATTAGCCAGGCATGCTGACAGGCAACTGTAGTACCAGGTACTCGGGAGGCTGAGGCAGGAGACTCGCTTGAACCCATGAGGCGGAGGTTGTAGTGAGCCGAGATCGCGCCACTGCACTCCAGCCTGGGTGACAGAGCAAGACCCCATCTCAAAAAAAAAGAAAAAATGACTGTGACTTAAGTGGGTACTTGAGAGTTGAATTCAGGGACTATTTTGAGCAAATTGGCAGGCTAAGGGAAATGATTAAGAGGTAGTAAAACACCAGAGTTACACTGGGAGTCCTCACCAACCCCAGCTGGGCCGGGAGGCATGATGAGAGGACGCAGTCCCGCGGCCTCTCAGAGAGTACTTGTAGCTTGGCAGAAGATCATTGGAAGGAATCCGCAGTACCGATTCTGCTGGTCCTGACCTTGAAGCATGGATCTTTGGGAGGGGGAGGGGAAAATGGGCAGGAAAAATTAACACCAGACCCATTTTCTGGAATTCTAAGTTCCATAGTTTAGAATAGAAACTGGGCATGGTGGCCAGGTGTGGTGGCTCACTCCTTAATCCCAGCACTTCAGGAGGCTGAGGTGGGCAGATCACCTGAGGTCAGGAGTTCAACAGCAGCCTGGCCAACATGGTGAAACCTGGTCTCTACAAAAATACACAAATTAGCTGGGTATGAGGGCGGGTGCCTGTAATCCCGGCTACTCCGGAGGCTGAGAGGCAGGAGAATCGCTTGAACCTGGGAGGTGGAGGTTGCAGTAAGCCAAGATTGTGATATTGCACTCCAGCCTGGGTGTCAGAGCAAGACTCCATCTCAAAAAAAAGAAAAAAGAACTGGGCATGGTGGCTTGTACCTGTAGTTCCAGCTACTCGGGAGGCTGTCTTGAGCCCTGCTTTCTTAGAAGATACCATCTCTGTCTACCTACTTTAGGTCGTTTTTTTTCTTTTTTTCTTTTCTTTTTTGTGGGGGGTGGGGGGCATTCCTGAGTTTATTTGTGGCACACCCGGGCGAAGGCACTGTACCTAGAAGAAGGTGTTGGGCCTCTTGGTGGTGAAGCGTGGCTTGTACTGACGGGTCTGGTGCAGGACCGGGTGGGGCAGCGGAAACTTGATCTTGGAGTCGTGGAACTGCTTGACGGCCGGCAGCACTTGCTGGCTGTGATCTCCTCCACCTTCATGATCTGGATGGAGTTGGCCGGGCGCCCATGTCTCGATAGCACTGGGTAACAGCGCCCGCAGTGGTCAGGTCCTGGTATTCCTGGTACATGTTGTGGGTGCCGCCCCGGGAGTTATAGCGCAGCCAGATGCCGAAGTTCTTGACCCGCAGTGGGGACTTCTCAAACACTTGCCCACAGTAGACAATCTCCCCTGAAGACTTCTTCATCTTCTTTAACTGAGATACGAAGTACCAGAGCGGGACTTGGCGACGACATGATTAGGCGCAAAGATTCGCATGCGGTAGGGGGGCGGTGTGTGGCATTTGGGGGTGGGCAGGCAGCGACCCACCACCTTGTACTGGTAGTGTGTCCGAGGCCTTCATGGTGTCCTCTCCGTGCTCGCCACCACCCGCCAAAGGCTAGGTCGTTTCTTTCTTTGTCATAAATGTGGGAAGAACATTTAACTGCCTGAGTTTCTGGACAGGGTCACAGTGCTGCCGGCTGCCTTTCTGCAAAATGAATTGTAAAGTTAAAAGAGCCTTCTCCTAAATGGTTTTCTCAGGTTTTAGAGACTGTTCTTCACTATCACTGGGAATAGTTCCTACTTCCTTACAGTTCTTTTTTTTTTTTTAGTGCTGCCTACATACTCAAATATCAATGCTAACTTGGGAATAATTTTCTCCAGACACAGTATGTCTGATACACCAGGCGGGTTACAGCACCAACAGTATACTGCGCTCCAACCAGTGAGGAATGAATCACCTCGACGTGAACACAGCTGAAGTGATGCATCATATAATTCTAATTGTACTTGCTAAATGGATGGAATTTACACTTAACAAAATGCTAATTAAATAGGATATTGCAGGCAACGAAAGGTCTGTCTACCTTGGATTACAAACGTTAACACAAAGCCGTAAGTGAAAGGCAAATATATCTCTAGCAAAGGATACTGTCAGGAGCGCAAGACCTAGCAACACACAAATGAGACTGGGTGCAGCTTTTGGTTTCCATGGATCATCCTCAAACGGCCCACAAGCTAACGTGCAGAGAGAATGCTAGTGAATAACATATTGGGTTCAATAATCGTTTTTAACATTTATTCAGAATTTGTCAGTTCTAAGTTTATAATTATTATTGCATATAATTAGAGACGGGGTCTTCGTGCTGTCACCCTCAGGCTGGAGTAACAGAAGGTATAATTTTATAGCTCATTGGAGCCTCAAATTTCCTGGGCTCCAAGCAATCCTACTGATCTCAAGCCTCCCAAGTAGCTGGGACCACATGCACACTATCACCCATGCCTGGCTAAAGTTTTTTTTTTTTTTTGTACGAGGCGGGGTCTCATCATCTTGCCCAGGCTAGTCTTGAACTCCTGGGTCAACAATCCTCACCACCTTAGTCCAAGTGCCTGGGATTACAGGCATGAGACACTGCACCCAGTCTACAGTGGTTTTTTTTTTTTTTTATTATTTTGTTAGATGCAAACATTAAATAAAAAGGCAGTCTATCATCTAAAACAGCGTAGAACTTATTAACATTTATCCCTATGGACAAATACAATCCAAAGCAGATAAGCTTTAGGGCAACCTGAGGTTTTTTTCTTTTCTGTGAAGATCTGGTTAGTATGTCATGGAACTAAACAAAAAAATACCACATTTTTTGTGACCTTTTAAATTATCTGGTCAGATAAAACCATTCTCGTCCTAAAGAGTGGCTCTGGTGATTAACAAGGCCCGATGTTTAAGAATACCTGTGAAAGACTTTGAAGCTAAAAGTCTCCAATGGTGCAGAAAAAAGAGAAACATGCCTACCCTTTTCTTTTATGTAATTTTAAGTATATGTGTGTGATAAAATAAAGAAAAGAGCGGCATGCCTGCACACTACATCTGAAACCTCGAATGTCCCACACACAGGGTTACCACACCTGAGGCAGAATGTCCTCATTAACACCCATCTGAACATTCTTAGTTCTAGCACCAAGAAAGCTTGAGTCTGTATTAACCCAGAGGGATAGTCTCTTGCAACCAGAAACAAGATAACTACATTAAGTTTAAGAACTGTAGGGAAAGACGGGTGCAGTGGAACAATCACGCCTGTAATCCCAGCACTTTCGGGAGGCCGAGGTGGGTGATCACAGGTCAGGAATCGAACATTCCTGGCTAAAACCCCATCTCTACTAAAAATTACAAAAAACTAGCCACAAGGCGTGGTGGCGGTCGCCTGTAGTCCCAGCTACTTGGGAGGCTGAGGATAAGGAGAATGGCGGGTGAACCTGGGAGCCGGAGGCTGCACAGTGAGCCGAGATCCACGCCACTCCTCAACCCTGGGTGACAGAGCAAGACTCCGTCCTCAAAAAGAAAAAAAGAACACGTGTGGTTGGTGAGACCGGTCCACTGCACTCCAGCCTGGGCGACAGAGCGAGACTATACGTCTCCAA